AAGGGAGGGGGCGGGGACGGTTATAACATTGGTAGGAGTCCGGTAGTCGGAGGAAAGCACAATGTTTCGGTTGGATTGTAGGCATCCTTGATTTAACATGTTGGTTTTACCGGTGAACGGGTACAATGGTTGAGTGCTTCGGAAAACTGCCGTGTTCGCAGCTTGTGTCTGTAATTTGTAGTTTGTTGCGGCGCCTGCTTCCCGGCGGAAGCTTCGATCGCTGGAACATTTTATGGAATGAATGATCAATAGACGTGTTCCGCCGGAGATCACACCGGTTGTTCTGAAGCCAAAAACGTTTTTTATCATGTGCTGGCTCCTCGTCTAGGAAAGCATAGGAATGAGGTGGCTCGTTTGCCTTGTACATTTAAGGAGGAAAAATCCCCCCGGCGTGTCGGACTCCGCCGGAGTCGAATATTATTACTTCGAAGAAACGTGTCTGCGGGAAATGTGCTCTCTGCCAGTTTGGTATCTCTCTCTTCCCTCGGGCGGTAGAAAATATTAATAAATGCAATTCGAAAGAAAACAATAAATCTACGACTTCTACGAACGAAAGTGTCAAGTGTCCCTCCCCGCCGCCTCTTTGTTCCCTCTCCTGTTCGCGCCTACGCGCCTACCATCCAACTGCTCCACACCTGGCCACACACACAGCTGGAAAGAGCGTTGCCCGCCCCGCTTCCCCAACACAAGCTCTCCGGGAACTCATTATTACTTCAAAGTCAAGTCAGAGCCTATGGCTCCGCAGGGTTAGAACAACAGATAGCTCCTCACGACGGCCTGCAGAAACAAGAGAGGGCTTAACACATGATTACACTCTCCCTGTCCGGGCCATCTCGCACCATGTGCCGGCTCCCGAAAATAACCCGAGTCTACATACCTAATGTAGACGAAGCACTAGCCCTCCGTTGCGAGCCAAAAAAAAAAACAATTACCTACAACAATTGGTTTTTGGATGGCCGTGTGAGGATTTCCTCGGCCGGTGCAACACCACGGCGGCCATAATACTCCATCCCCTCATCCCCCCTCTCTCCCTCTTAGGTTCTTTTTTGTCGCTGGATGCAAACTGGATGAGGCCTGTTCTTTGTTTTCTTTACCTATTTTCTCTCTTCTATCCCTCTTTGGCCTGGTTCGATCGTCTCTCCCGGTTTGTTTTGACAGCAGCAGCAGCAGCAGCAGCAGCAGCAGCAGCAATAACAGCAGCAGCAACAACAACAACAACACTGCACCTTCTACATGTTCGTGAAGGTGACCGTAGTCCAACAACCTTGATCTTTGGACAAGGCATATCCAACAAGATTGTGTTCAGCTTTGGGTGGAAGCATCCTTCCCCCATACAGCAGTCAAAATCATGTTGTGTTCGCGAACGACCAGTATCCTCCACAGAAATGCTCCTCGAGCCGTGTACGCAACGTCTTGATGGGCGTGGCGAGAATAAATGCTGCACAGGCTTCACAAGTAAATCTTCCACCGCAGGTACGGGATCTGAACGTGGCACATTCTTGAAGAGCTATTTCGCAGCACTGAGTGCACCAAGGGTACAACAGAGCTGAACAACGCCGTATTGGCGCCACGGACGCTGTGCTAGTGCAATCATTGTCAAGGACCCGAACAGAAGATGTTTTGGACAAACTTGAAGCTTCTCGAACGGACGTCATGCCGTTCTTCATCGGCACAATCACATGATTGACCAGGGAGCTGATGGCCCCCATGCTGATCTCCAACTCTGTAGTAAACGGGTCGAGGTCAAACCCCACCTGTTGCAATCATTTGTGCTCTGATTCCCTGGGTGGGTTGGCTGGGGTGCGCTGTGCTGATGAAGAGATGAACGAACTTCGTTTGTGACGCTTGCTTAGACAGAGGTGGACAATGCTCACCGCGGCTGTTGAAAAAATGCCTAGCGGGCGTCCTGACGCTTCTACACGGTGCTTCCACCCAGGATTCCGAAAAGATCGCTCCATTTCCATTGTTGTTTCCACCGAATCGTTAGTCGAGCAAACTTCCGTCCGTACGATTCTCGTCTCACCTTACTACCCATAGCCGTAGAGATCTGTCTCTTGGAGAACAGTGGTTAGGAAACGAACGAGAGTTTGTGTGTGTTCTTGAGTGCATCGCCGGCAACATTTAGTCAACTCAGCAGATGTCCTCCAAGCCCTGTGTCTGGCAGGATCTTCACCGGCACACGTCCAACCCTACCCTTAGCTCCCGGTGTATTTCACAGGATATCTGTGCCAACGTGTGTGCAACGGTGCTATTCGGATTGCTGCGTCTCGGTTGGATGCGACCATTGTTACAGATGTTCCTAACACCCGAGGGAGCCCTGCAACTCCCACAGTTGGCGTAAGTGGAGTTTGACAGCTACAGGGAACGCCAGGTGAGTCCCATACATTCAACAGTAACAGTCAGCAGCTGACCATCCTACGCAGGTACGGAAAGAAAAATTACCCTCGCTCGCGTTCGTGCAACCAGAGTCCATACCACCACAAGGGAGTACACCAGTACGCGCTTGTCTAGGTGTTGTGAGCACGGGAGCGTGGACACAAAGGCGGTCATGCCTGTACACGTGGGACAGCATCCGACGCATTTCGTCCGTTTCCCCCCGTGTTGTCTCGTCGATCAATGGCGTGTACGCCGTGCTACACCAGCAGCAGTATCAGTCGCGATCAAGGATCTTGTTCAACTCTGTTTCTTTCGCCGACAGTGTTTTTCACTCGCATGGAAGACCCTCTTTTTTTCTCTTGGCGCCAAAACGGTCCTCTTCTCGTGTGTCGCTTTTTCCTGGTTTATTTTGCTGGGACCACCGATATGCAGGAGGAGATAGCGTACCGTACGATGCTACTGCCCAACTCCGGCTTCGCCAAGAAGGTGACGCGCCCGGCCGTCGTCAACACGATGCCGGGAACGCAACTGGTGAGCTGAGCAATGACCGAACGCAGTGTCGGGTGCCCACCATGGGGCGACGCGTGAAAATGACAACAGGTCTTGCTGCCTGCGTGTGCTCCCGCTGCTGCTCATGTTGTATTCAGGCCGTCACTAGAGACCACGTATGGAGAATGTTGTTGTAGAGTCACGCTGTCGTATGTCGGTGACGGTAAGTTAGACAGAAAGAACACACGCTGCAGTGTGAGTCGTGGAGACACTGAATTAACATCGTACGTGTAGACGGGCACAACGATGTCGTTGCCCTAGACCGTCTGGGCATGGTTCCATACGACCGTTACCCTGCCTCTCAGGTCGTCCGCCTCTTATGGCTCAGATTATCCACGGACTCCTTGTCCAACCACACCGACAACAAAACAATCCCCCCCCATCTTGCCCACGCCCGCATTTGTCTTGTCGTCAGACCACCATTCGGAAGCTGGTCCGCACCACCACGTCTACCAACCCCGCGCATAGGCCCACCATGGCCGAAATCGCGCCACAATTCTCGCGGTGGCTTAGGCCGTGCGCCTCGCGATGCAGCAGAACGCCACGCCGGTTGCTTCAGCAGCGACGGCGGCAGCGGCGGTTTCAGCGGCCCTTCCGAGCGGAGACTTCGAAGAAGTACAATCGCCGGCTCACGCCAGCACCGGTAGCGCGGTGGCGGTGGGGGCCGGTCAGGCGGATGCAGCAGGGCTGGTGGCGGTGAACGCAAGCGCCGACGTACCCTTGGCTCCCATCCTTTACGGAGACGCATTGCTTGCGGGGGGCGGCGGTGGCAGCAGCGGACGCGGCGGTGGCGGTGGGGGCGGCGACTCTGCAGGGGGCGCCCCAGCCATCAGGAGTGGTGTTGGTGGCGGCCTGGGCGGCGGGGACAGCGCCGGAGGCGGCAGGAGCGCCGCCAGCGCTGCAGTCCTCCGACAAATGAGCGCCGAGGTACAAGAGGCGGTAGCGACGGCAGAGTGCAGGAGTGCGGAGGCGGTCAGCGGAGGGGGAGGAGGAGGCGGATCTGAGGCAAGCGGCCGGGCAGGAGAGAGGGCCGTTGGAGATGCCGTTGGAGGAGAAGGTGCAGGCATGGGACTCGAGAGGCTAGAGGGTCGGTATGGAGCCATCGACCACCCTCCCACCGGACGGCGCAGCTCTTTGTCTCCTCGCGCACACTTGGAAGGGCTCCTGCAGGGCGCCACCGGCGACGGATTTGGGGCCAGGGCACTCTTGCGCTCAGCCCCCGCGGTGGCGGATGCCGTCGAGCACGCGGTGGGTGCGGCCGACATTTCGGTTTCTAACGCACCCTCCCCGGCGGATGTAGCAGCAGCAGCAGCAGGAGCAGCGGGCCCGGTGGGCTCGAACATCGGTCCGATCCCAGCAAGCTCCATCTTTGCCGCAGTTCCAGTACCGGAGAGCGGCGACGGTGCAGGCTTTTCTGCCCCCTACTCCGTCGGAAGCCTCGGCAGCGAGGAAGGGTCGCCGGCGATGGGCCTAGTGACAGAGGAGGCGGCGGATTGGCTGACGCGAGATTGGCAACATCCCCGAGGCGGAAGAGGATGAAGGAGACGGTGATGGGTGGGAGTGGGGCTGGGAGTTCGATGGAGATGACGGGGACTGCAGTGCGGCCGTGGGGTTCGGTACGTAGGTCGGTAACCGGAGGCAGACGTTCCCGGTTCGGAGGAAGCACGACATCCCACCTCGCTCGCATTCTGAAGGCCTGATCGCAATAAAGACAGCGGGTCAGAGTTCTGAGCGATACTTTCACGACGGAGGGGAAGGCATCCGGGTGCCGTTTCCACTCTTCGCTCGACGGCTTCTTCTTCCCTGTCGTTCGAAAGTAGGGGGTGCGCTGAAAGCACCATTTCTTAGTTGTGCATTGTATTTTATGGCACGATCTCAATATTGTCGTGGGCTTGTCTCATGAACGCCGCTACCCGGCTCGCTTGGCGATTTATGACATTTACTCTCGTACTTTACATAAAATTCGAAGACTTTACATTCTATTACCTTTGTTTTCATGATGCCCTTTTGGCTTGCATGACGTTGATTAAACTGTTAAATACTTTTGAAGACTGCTGTGAAAATAAGCTGTGGGGAGGGCGTGTGGGTCATGAACCTTGAGGGGTGGAAGGGAAGGGGGGAGGTATCGGTTGCGCCCATTCGGAAATAATGATGTGTGAGACACGTCTACGAAAGGGGATCCGCGGCGTGTGTTTGTGTTTGTGTCTTGACGGGTGCAGATATTACCTCGAGTGCAGTTCCGAAGTCACGAAGGATGTGTGGGGGAGACGTGTGGCGTGAGTACGTCCGAGGGGGGATAAGGTGGGAATGAATAGTGCCCATCGAAAGCAGATGCGAAGGTAGACACATCTTACGAGGAGGTGGGTATGCCCGTTGAGAGGGTGCCGTGATCGAGTAGGCACGACCTATGATGCATACGTATGTCTACCAGGGAAAGTTGGAGGGGGCGTACGGTTTTGGGTATGAGAACTATGTAGACCTATTCATTTCTCCGATGTAAAATGTGATCATCCGTGTTGCTAGGCGTCTCCTTGGCGATTCCTAGGTGGTGAGTTGCGACTCGATTTTGCTTTTTCCAAGACACTGCTCTTGAAGCAACGATAGGTTTTGAATATGCGTATTTAATACCACCTGCCCTTTGTGTGGGTGACGTAAGCTGTTGTGGGTAATCGCCGTAAGTGCGATGACCGAAGGACGGGTGTCAGGGTACTTGTGTGCGAGCTTCTTATGAAGGTGTGCCGAGTTGTGACAACAATGGTGCCGCCGCAAATCCTGAGATTGACGTGACAAAAAGTGATATATTGTGGGGCTTGCTCTCCAAGCCAAAAAATGCACTTGATAATGGTTGCGTGGACTCTACTCTGACGCTGTATCGTGTACCGTGCAAGGATCGTAGTAAGTCGTTCACAAACACACATGGCAAGCAGGTGCCAGAAAAGATTTTGAACCTATGTGCGTGCCTTGCCTTGCATGTTGTGTCATTGAGAACTGCAAAATATTCTTGTTGGACAGAGGATGGGTGATGTGGATGTGTTCACACGTTTTTACCCACGTGACGAGCAACCACAAGAACAGGTGTTCAGACATTAGGGCGTCTAGTACCTTCGTGTTACGTCTCCTGCTGAACAACCGATAAATTAATGTTGGGTAGAAGTAGGTGGCCAACATTGGGTCACAAAAAGGTGGGGAGGCGGCGCAGGATGGGCTGTTTTTATCAAGTCTTGAGCCCTTTTCTGCGAACTGTGCCGTTGGAGCGGGAATAGAGTACTTTGATATTCTTCACGTTTGAAGCTACGGCGGTGCCTTGAAATAAGGGGAAAACGATGAAGGCTTTGCAGCAGGCGGGCGTTGTGTCGATATGGTTGTTCACGCTCGTAGGGGTGGCGAAATATAACGTTGGGTTGAAGTAGGTGATCAAATTGGGTCACAATAAGGGGGGGGGGCGCAGGATGGGCTGTTGTTTGAAGTTTGGGTTGTATTCTTGTCCCTTACCTAGATCATTCAATGTAAGTATTGGATTGGGTTGGGTGAGGCCTCCTGCACTGACAGGAGGGCCTCGCCGTGAAGTAACTCTTCGGGCTGGGCATACAGATCGCAATATGCCCAGACCCTGATCAGCAAGTTCATGAATAGAAATAGTATTCGTAGGGCGGGTGGGATGGTCTCAAATATTTCTTCCTTCTCCTCTGCTCCGGCGTATTTCGGGAGAGAGAAGGGGACTGAACAAGGAAGAGTCATTTTTCAACATGCCTCATGGGATATCTGCCTCTTCCCGATTTCGTTCCGAAATCTGGATTCGTCTCAAATCCGAGATTACTCAAGAGAACGAAACCGGCCTGCTTGTAGCTGGTATATGTGTGCCCGCCCTCGACAAGGATCCCGACGACCCACGCATTTGGTTGGGAAAGTAAGAGAGCACGTCAGACCCGAGACGGGTCTGATTGTCAACCAATCGTCGCATCGTGTTGTCTAGCTTTGAAGGCAGAGCAGAATGTTTTATGTTTCACGCCATCAGACGTGCATTCAAAACACACGACGAGATACTCTTCATCTACGTGTTCTTCGCGCCATTCGTGACAATTCAACCTTTTTTGCTGAGAAGAAAATAACTTCGAGCTCGCGGGGAAGATATTCTGTCATTTACTCTCCCCGCCCGAGAAATGTTTTCAGTCAAACCGTTGTTTCCATCGCCCGTAATTTGTATCTATCTTTCAGTCTCGCCGCTCAAACGTCCTCCCGTTCGGGGCCAGACAGCAAAAAATTACGTAATATTTAGTCACTTCTACAAACAACTACAGCCACAGCCTCGGCCATCGAGTTTGTTCCGCAAACAAAAGTACCGCTGCGCGTTTTCCGCATAGTAGACGTATACCGTTCATCTTTGGGGTCCAACCTTGCTAATGTAGGTTGTCGTCCTTAGTTTTGTCCCCCTCCCCCCTTGGGCATTCTTGAGAGTTCGCCGATCGGGCCACTCCGTGTACCGCGTCGTCATGTAAGGGCACAATGTTCAGCACGTGGGTCAAGACGAAACGCACAGGACACAGCTTTTTGCACCGGTACCGTGTAGACGCGCTCTAAACAGTTAATTACGAGGGTTGAAAAAGATTGTTGTTGTTGTTCTGTATACTATTTAGAATGCATGAACGCTTCCTACCTTCACAAGACGACAAACGCATGACCCTGTCTTGCCCTGTCAACAAGAGTTTGACGACCGCGCCTCAAACTCCGCCAAGCTACATAGACTTTCCCGGATGAAAGGTTCTCAGCCGAGATGAGGCTCTATGCCGCTAAACCTGGTGAAAAGTGACATAGACTGCATACCGAATAGCGGCCACATTGCGTCGTGACAACACAGGAGTCGTTAGACGGCGGCCGCCGCTGCACTGGAAGTATGCGCTTACTCCGTGACTGGCCGTGGCGTACATGCGCCTCCACCAGCTGCCAGGACGTCGATGCTACTCTCTGTATAGAATTCGACCTCCGTCTCCACCACCTATTTGTCAATAAATGTGGGAGATCACCCACGAGGGGAAGGTTGCACCTAGGACGGGATTTGACCTTGGTTTGCAAGTGGAGACCGATGTGTTTTGCACTGGGTTGGGCGAGCTAATGTGGCGTGTGTTCTTATGCAAGGCCGGGTAGAGATGAGACCTCGCTTACACAACAGATGCTCACCAGGCGTATGAAAGTTTTGTCGTACTCGAGTACGGTAGTCAATGTATACCTTTGCGGGATCTACACCAGACCACCAGAGTGAGGGAGATTCGCGACTTGGGTAGAATGAATGAAAATCTCAACGACATTCCTGCCGTTCGTACTACTTACTGTATCTCGGATAAATTGGCAAGTAGGAAAGTACGAACAAGCCTGTAGACAGGTGTTTGTCAAGAAACACAATGACCAGTAAACTACTAGTCGGCGCTGACTACACAGGTGGACGTCGACCCCCCTTCCCCAAAATGTCGGATGCCTTCGTCCCCTTGTGGACACCTTGACAAGGCCGAATACCTTGGAGAAGACAACCAAGGCCTCGAAAGGGGAGAAATCGAGGTATTTTTGAGGCCTTGGTTGTCTTCTCCAAGGTGTTCAACCTTGTCACGGTCTCCACAAAGGGGCGAGGGCATCCGACATTTTGGGGAAGGGGGGTGGATGTCCAACCGTGTAGTGATCTAGTGGTCATCGTGCTTTTCACAGTGTTAAGACTAGGCATGATATTATCTTTGTGCGAGCGAACGATGTCGATACTCTGTGTTCTTCGAGCCGGAGATAGTGAGTGTCGGATAAAGTTGGGCGGAGGAGTGTACGAGCGTGAGTCTTAACCATAGGGAAAGGAACATTTTCAGTTGTTGTTTGCCGGAGCTGCACTACTGTACATGTGGCACGTGCACTATGTGACCGGCTGGTGGAAGGGTACGAAGATAAGAGCGTTGCACCTCGCGGCTATTCACGACGAGGAGACACAATACGGCACGGCCGAGGCTTGTACATCGTGATTAGTACGGTACCTCCTTCAGAGAATGAGAGTACCGATGAGAATGTTTCGTGTCTTAGACTAGAACCGCAGAGACTTGGACCAGGGCATCCTCATCGCGACGCCCGGGAAGAAGAACGTTTTGTCTGCAGAGAATCCTTGAATGTGAGAGGGGAAGTAAGTGTGTCTCTACCTCCAATGCCGAATTCACCCCGGGCAGAGTATTGACTGAGGCTGGGGCAAATGTCGCACACGTGTTGCCATCACGAGTTTTACCCACACCCAAGGTCTAGTCCTACTTGGTTTTGCCCCATTGGGTACGCATATATTCTTCACTATGTCGTACGGGCACTCTTGTCCCCTTTGTCCACTGACATCACACGATGATTCCTGTGGTGAACTCATTCCCCACCGTCCACGTCGAATATTGACATTCCAAAGACACATTCAATACCTGTCGGGTTTGGTTTCACCCTGCCTTGGGCACGAGGTTCTGCCAACCATGTGTGTAACATGTGACTATTCGTACTGCAGCCGACATGGCGGGGCTGTGCTGTACGTAGTATGG